AGGTACCAGCTCGGTTACCATTGGACACAGTGCCATATCAATTCCATTTACATGCATACGTTATTGATGCTATTTTTTCCAACATGAAACTTTTATCGACTAGGCGTGTCACCCATTGGTCTAGTTACTTGCTGGCATGTGTGTGTATTGAATTTGTGCATATTTTTTTATAATAGATAATTTTAAAATCCTAATTCCAATTGTCTTGTGTAAATTTCCTACATGAAGAAGGACTTCTTTTTTTATATTTAACCCATTCACTCCTAAAGTCACATAGAACCTTACCAAATCTGGGCAAGTCCAATGCAGGGGTGAATGAGTTAAGCACGGACGTGAAGCCTTAATACTTGTTGGTACATATATGTACGTGAAGACATTTTTTTCATTCATAGAAAATATAGAATTCTAGATAATTGGATCATGTAGTTGATAGTGATAGATGGAAGGTGAAAGAGAAAGAAGAAACAATGGGACTGTCTTGATTTGTCAGACAGAGCTCTGAATAAGTTGTAAAAACGCTTCAATGGCAAATCATGTATTTGTACAAATCTACATTTTGTATCAATTAGTGATATGATTAAACCACAGACCTGATGGCACAGCTTCAGTTCCTGGTACCAGTATAGTAATTTCATAGATACTTTTTGTATCTCCTATCCAACGTAGACTTTTTTCAGGCTTAATTGTTCCGAGGATAATACCTTTATATAGACGAGACTCGAGGTTTCATGTTTCAATGCGCATTAAGACATATCTGCATTTTTGGAGTAAAATAGTCACTTCTTCAGACCTGACTTAACAGATTGTGAAAAATAGAAGTGTACCGGTAGGCATTAAGGCGAAACAATTTGTATTTTTCATGCATTCTGTTTTATATATATATAAAGAAATTATAAATAATTGATTATAAAGATGACATGTCCACCTGATTGTTTGAGGGTTTGTTCACATGAGTATTTTATTTTTAACACAAATGTTTTGTAGAGTACGTAGTTACTTATTGACTTAGTTCTCTACCTGCCAGCTTCTATATTGACGTCAGAAACAGATATTGGATTGTCTAACTAGTTCCGAGTATAACATATTTACACAATGTGACAGGTGTGTTACAACATGTGTTTTCGAACAGTTCCAGCAGTGACAGTAAGGGCTACAGCTGGAAACATGTGACACTAGTCATGTGACTAGCTGGTAAACGATAGAGGGTTGTAATATATCAAGCATGGTTAACTTTATCACACAATGAGAAGTAAAATTTTAATAATTGTTAAAAATTACAGTAAAATATGCATGTTCTTGGATTGATTTCTTTATTAAATTGATGAAAAAGTTTTACAATCCACAGGTGCTCCGGTTCTGGAATACATGTGATATATATTATCGCACCCCACTAGATATGGGGTTGTGATATCTAGTTGGGTGCGATAATATATCACATATATTCCAGAACCCGAGCACCTGTGGTTTTATCCTACTAGGAAAATTCTTGAAAATAACACTATAGAAAAATAGACTTGTATTTATACAGTATGCATGCATGGTTCTGCTGAGCTTCTACTTATTCAGACAATGTTTAAATTTCCATAGTTATAATGTGGAGGAGTTAGATGTGAAGGTTTATTATACATGGGCATGTATTAGGTGCCACATCAGCCCTCCCACTTTAATGGAAAGCATCAGGGTCACTGAAACCCTTCATCCTCATCATCAGGGTCGATGAAAGCCTTGGTGAGTTTTCAGTGTGTCACCTTCTAGAGTAATTCCAGACCTGATTTCATATTATTGTGATCGAGTCTGTCAGCATCGGTTCTGTTGTGTTATAAGGTATAGCACACACAGAGAGAAAATCTTTCTGAAAAGATGACAGAGGACACTCCTTCTTGGTGTGAACTCATCCATTACTGACATTTCTCTTGTAGTGTTTCCTGTTTCAACCAGCACCAACAAAGTCATGTTCATCGTTAAGTACAGTGTAACTTGTATAAACAGAACCCTGCTAATCCAGAACCTGTGTTGCAAACCTGGACTGGATTGATTGCTGTCAACCAGGTAGCTCAATTGGTTGGTTCATCCATCTACAGTTCTGAGGGTCCCAGGTTGGAATCTCAGCTCTGGCAATGCATTTCATTTCCTCCTACACTTGTATTGGCTTTGCTAACAAATTCCATCCAGGATAAGAAAAGCCAAGGGTACAGGATGTTAGTTAACTTACAACATTTTATACAGTATTCCCACACAAACTGTTTTTGGCCGACATACATGTATATCCTTTTTTTTTATTCAAGATTTTCTCTAGTATTTCAGCTGAGAAAGAGGTGTGCTAGATTAATGACAGAAAAAAGCTCTTCCATCGTAATATATAAAAGTCTGTGTGAAATCAACTTGCTGAAACTGAAAATCTGCTAGTTATGGAAGGAAGTTTGGTTTACTGGGTTTAGTATCCTATTTATTAAGAGCTATAATATGATCCTTAACTCGTTCACCCCTGAAGACACATTTGAACTCTTCCAACTCAAAGGCTGGAATAGTTCATTATGAAATTTCAGGGGTGAATGAGTTAAGAAAGTGGATGTTTACTGGTATTTACAACTTTGTTTTATGTAACACATTTCTTTTAATGTATTGGAGTGGTTTTCCATGATTTCAACTATTATGCATTCATGCATTTCTCCTGGTACTATATACTGAAATCATTGTCAATTATGAACAAGTAACACACTAGGGAGGAAGGTGCTGTTTATTCACCAACACACAAGGGAGAAAGTAATTATGTTTAACTCATTGTCAATCCTTTAACTGTAACACACAAGGGAGAAAGTAATTATGTTTTACTCATTGTCAATCCTTTAACTGTACCACACAAGGGAGAAAGTAATTATGTTTAACTCATTGTCAATCCTTTAACTGTAACACACAAGGGAGAAAGTTAACACACAAGGGAGAAAGTTATTATGTTTAACTCATTGTCAATCCTTTAACTGTAACACACAAGGGAGAAAGTTAACACACAAGGGAGAAAGGCGTAATGCTTGACTCATTGACAATCCTTTAACTGTAACACACAAGGGAGAAAGTTAACACACCAGGGAGAAAGGCGTAATGTTTAACTCATTGTCAATCCTTTAACTGCAACACACAAGGGAGAAAGGCGTAATGTTTAAATCATTGTCAATTCTTTAACTGTAACACGCAAGGGACTAGTAAGCCATGATTGATCTCCCAACATACAAGAGAGAATGGCGTACATTTTGCCTGTAAAAAGATACCTATCTGATCTTCAAAGTTGGTATAGGGTCCATAGTTCGCCATTTATACTCCTTAGCTATAGTGTATCTGTATACATGTATAAAAACTAAGTACATTCACTTAAGATTAACTTCGAAGGATTATTCTTAAATTGTATTTCATTATACAATTTGTTATCTTAAGCAAACATTAGTGTATGTATGAGAAGGTTTTATCTTCAAGTTGACTTTTCTACTTCAGTTAATTGTCTTCAAATTTCCAGAACAATAATCAGTTTCTGGCTTTCAGTCAACTTTCTTTCAAGCAAGTATAATCAGCTATTGTTATAGGGTTTTATCAAGTGTCGTAAATCTCCACTTGAAATTATCAAAATTAGTTTATGGTTAAAGGCTGTTTTCTCATAATTCAAAATTTAAATCAGAGAGTATTAGTATTTTGAATGAGACCGTGCACAAAGTCAAGCTGTTTTGGCCAGAGGCAGTCAGGAGATTATCATATGGGCTTTATCATGTAATCCTACGATTGAAAAGTCAGATAGAGTCGAAATGTATGGATAACTCGGAACATGACTAGGAGATATTTTGTTTAGCATTTGTATAATGTTCAGTAAATTGGACCATAAAACGTTAACTTTGATTGAAAAAGTTTCAGATTATTTTTGGCCAGGGGATATGTAAGCCATATTATTAAGAGATAATCTGTGGACTATCACGCTACAATAATAAATCTGTAGGTCATCACAGAGCTCCCCCTTTAATCCCTGGCCTATATGTTTGTATCAAGATGGAGATGAAGACGAGATCATCCCAACAAAACCACGTTAAAAAAAATGACCTGGTGTGTCAATAAACCTCTGACAATGGCGATCATTGTTCGGGCACTGTTCAACACGTCCGGCGATAAGATTATTTGAGGTGATGGGTCGTAACGACAACCAATTATCCATGATCCTTTATCGTCAGTCGAGTATTTTGTTGGTAGTTTGTTACATTTTTCCCTTCGTCAGGAGGCAGTGAATGGATGGGAGGTGTAATAAACACCGGGTGATTCTTTACAAATGACTTTATGACTCTCTACGGAATCAACAAGGTAAGAATCGCACAGAGTAACTTGCGGCTGACTTATTGTGTTATAACCGCCATTTTGTCCAACCAAACCCCTGACTTAAAAGAGATTACGGCACAGATTTAAGGTTTTCAAAAGATCCCATTTACACAAGTACATTACCGTAAAATGTTTTTCGTCGGCCAAGTCTTTTAAAATTTAAAGTGGACCCCAGGATTTGTTAAAAATCTCATCCGATATATTCGCCTATTGTCACGCTGTGCCGGCGATAGTATAATAGGTTTATGTATTAGGTTAGTAGTTGATGATGATATAGCAAAACAGTAAACATGCTCGTCAATGTAAGCGTGCTCTGGGGTGGTAGTATCAGGGTTATAGGAGAGTGAAATTGGTCAGGGTCGGACAATAATACTGGACAGCTTCACCACCTCATAGCTGCTGCCTAGTCTATTAATGTGAGCAATGCTGTGGATTAATATCAAGTTTATAAATGGATAAAATTGAAAATCTTAAACGCTACCTGTGGCATATATATAGAAGCATGCTCTGAGATAATGTCGTGTTTCTAGGAGAGTAAAAGTGCTGTTGATTGGATGATAATAACGGAAGTGTTCTTTGATGTATATAGATACTCTACTTTGTAAATACAAGCAAGCTCAGGGATAATACCGGGGTTTCAAGGGGAGTAAAGCTGATCGTAAATGGATGATAATAGTCATCGGACATGCTCTCAGATGCTACCTGTGCTCCATAGATGTGAGCGTGCTCTGGGATAATATCAGGTTTCAAGAGGATTGGACAATATAATTGACATGGTCTTAGATGTTACTGCTAGTATTACACATCGTGTACATGAACAGACTCAGGGGTGCGACATCAGATTTATAGGGATGTAAAACCGAGGAGAATGATTGGAGGATAACAATGGACATTCCCTTGGACGTTAATTGCCATCTGTACACTCTACGGCTGCATAGACATTTGCATGCTGTGGGACAGCACTGTTAATGATTGGACGATAACTGGGGGATTTTACCCCGTTATGCTACACTTTGTATTCACGCTCTGGGGGTGTCATGTGAGATTACACATGAGTAAAACTGATAATGAGTAGATGATACAGTGGACATTCTCGCAGATATCACCACTCCTACGACACTTCATAAATGTGATCACACTCCGGGTGCGACATCCGATTTATACGGAAGTAAAAACTGATAAGGATTATAGGATTATACCTGTACTTCACAGCTGAATCAAGTAAGTACTCATTTACCTGGAATATCACACTGCCATTGGCTGCTATACTTAGTCGTTTAGTTTTTGTAAATAATTCATTATCATGATGGGCTTTCTACAGGACGGGTATACTTTGTATTGATGGTAACATTGGGTAACATTCCCATAACTGCAGTTAACCTTTTCACCCCAAGGTAACTTTACTTGACTCAACCATGCATTTAACGGGATGAGTCCATTATGGTCTATGGTGGTTAAAGGGCTAACAATACCATAATGAATAGACAAACAATGGCATTCATTGGACTATATTTGCCTTTGCTATTTTGGTTCATTATGGAGTGACAAAGTCATGCTATTGTAATAATATTGCTATGATCGAATGCAATGAGTAATTCTGGTAGTTTCATATCGACAAGTGCAACAGGAATGTAACTAATACGATTTGAGTCTCTGTAACAGGGACGTGCCAGTATATGACATGCGTCAGGTTTAGACTAGATTTTTAATATACTGCATATTGTTATGACGGTGTTGAATGCCAATAAAAATAAATAGCTTTAACAATTTGAATTCAGTCACGTCATCATACTAAATTGTATTTAAATGTTTTACATGTACATTTGTTAAATACGTATTCAGATAAAGGTATTTACAGTGATCCAGCATGTCTCCCACTGTATCCAACGCTGTCTCGGTATTATGTATCTGTGTGCAGAGATCGAGTGCTTCCTCCTTGAGGCTCGAGGCCAGAGTATCAATACTAGATTGAATTGTTGAGTCTGTTTGAACTGATATAATTTTTAGTTCGAGTAATGGTTACTATTACTGTGATGCTGGTCCCGATCGACCGCTCGGCTATTGTGTACGACTGTCAGTATGTCTGGGCTGGAGGGTGTAACATTGGAATGGGACATGAAGCATTTTGTTAAGGGTTTAATTGTAGGGCTCTATCAGTGTGAAGCTTTTAATTGTATATATGGCTCTATTGGTAAAGGATCTTAATTGTAAGGGTTTATGTAGGACGCTGGTGATTGATTTCATTGATTCGTTGTTGTCGATCCTTCATTGGCGTCGTAGGAAGATTGCTCATTGTATGTATACCCTAACTACACTTAATAGCTTTTAAGGTGGGCTTACAATTGGAACGATTTGAGCGAGCTAGGCAAATGTCGGTAACAGTATTGATGTGTACCTGCCTTTCTTCATCGCTACCGTAGGTGTGTACTATATGTATGTATTAATGGGTTTGAAGGCTTACATTCCGAAAGCAGTTTGAGGCAGAGGGGTTGAATCTCTGAAAATCATATTCTCTTCTGCATAATAAATAGACTTAAATCATTTTCTGGAAAGTAACTATAATGTTATTTTTTATGAGAATAACCATATTTTGTGATCAACTGCTGTTTTCTATGAATATTACATTGGTGGCAATTATATGTGTCAAACGGAAGTGTCTCACATTTTCCGGAAATCGAGCCCCCATGGTTTGAGTCAACTGAAGCAGACGTCGGGAGCAATATTGATGTGTGATTATTCAGTCAACCCGAAAATGTTCACAAGAAATTTATCTCATATCTGTGTATTTCCTCGTTGTACCTGTACATGAAGATCGCCATTGTCACGATCAACAAAAAGACATTGTCTGTGGACAATTTTCGTACAAATTACGAGATAAATCATCAGGGGATATTATGTTTGTATGACTACAAAGGTAAATAATGTCTGTCTATCAATTTAAAAAACTCTCATGCTATTATCTGGCCGTGTTCATTGAACTGGAGATATCGTATTATGAGTAGTTGATACATTCCACAAATCTCCGACAATACAGTTGTAGAAGGGACATTTTCAATGGGTAACATTTGAAACGTTGTTTCGTGACACCCTGAAAGAGAGATAATGGTATAACAGAAGGCTTGTTACACCTGTCAACCTGGGGCAAGCAACTGGTTGATACCAGAAAAGAAATCAATTTGAAATTTCAATACTTGTTATCAAGTAGTTTTTAATAAATCGGAGTGCTTTTTGCGTTTTTTTTTTTTTTATTAAAAAGTAATCGGATGTTTTATTTTTAAATCCAAACACAAACAGACTTGGTTATTGATTTCAATATACTTAGCATTAGTGAATTTTCCCAGTAGGAAACATATACCCAGAAATCGGTTTTAAAGGCATGCAAGAGATCAAGCTTTGGTATGTGTGCATGTTTTGGAAGCATTAGGCTTCTGTAAACAGTGTCAACATTCGTAAGAATCAGTTTAATGGTTATTTCACCATTGGTCCATTACGTCTTATCAGCTAAATTAGATACATTACCACAATGGGTAGTAGTCTAATACCTCCAAAGCCTCTTCAGTCTTTTATCTTAAATTTGATTCTTTTGTGATGTTCCAGCTTTAAAACAGATTCCTTAAGTAATGATCTTTTGGTCCCCATTGCACATTGAGTTTAGTTCGAGAGTGGTAAGGGAAAATTTCAAATATAAATACAACAAAACCAAAAACATCTCATATCTTTTCACTGCAATAGGTTTGTTTAAAAGTGACGAGATTGATGCGCTTTGAGGATTAAATTTGCCTAATTTCTTAAGTACAGCAATTTGGATTTTTAACTGATGACTGGTTGAAGTGAACAACCGTTTGAATAACTTGGGCCTGATGTCATGTTGAATCTGATATCCTTCATTTTGATCCCATATAACTGATACCTGCATTTTATTTTATGATTTAAATTTTGGTCAAATAAATTATCAGTGAAAGATTTTAATATGATGTTAGGGGTTAAGGTTGGTCAGACTTAAGTGCTTATTACATCATGTATTTATAGAGTCTTATCATATGCAGGTATAGATCGACTTCATTACAACCAGGGTTGTAGAATTTAGGATAAAAACGAAAGTAAATTGTATCCTCGATATTTAGGCTTTAAATTTTTGAAAGTAGCATGCAAAACCTTCCCCACAAAACTTGTGATAAATGGTTTCCTTGCGTTGTTGTCAGATGCAGATGTCCAGATTATGGTACATGTTGCGCTATTGTCGGTCAATCGTCATTCTGACAGGCTCTTAATTGTGATGTCATGATGAAGCAATGTGTGAATGTAACATCAGAATTAGTAAAGGTATTGTATGCTCATATAGAACACATGTATGGACTATTCCATTAGAGTTAATGTTCCATTCAGGAAGTGCATAGCTGACATATGTGGTGGTGAGGGGAAATTCTTAAAAATTATTTTCATGTACCAGGTATTTCATTTCTTGTTCGTTTCATAAAAATAAATATGAAATAAATAAAAAAGGGGAAATATCAAAGAAAGATACTTCAGTTTCATCTTCGTGAATCAGGTGCAGCCATTAGCTTGAGTAACCATTTAACCAATATTGAGGTGTATATTTAATAATAGGTACATTATGATATTTAAACAAAATGTCTACCAACACATGTACATTGAGCAGAAGAAAATAATTGAGCAAATTACTGGTGTTTCTGGTTGAATCGACAAGACATCACAGGTATTTAACAAAAAATCATGGCACATTGATGTATTTCACGCTGCTAATGGCGGCCTCCATTATACGTCTCTGTTACTGGGTGTTTATTGGAAGATAATTTTTGTAATCAGAAGAAAAATAAAGGCTTTAAGATGAATAGAAAATAAGAGCGACAACAATTCATGGATGAGATATGGTCGATAGTTATAATGATGTTTATTTTTTTCAATCAAAATTGGGTGTGTATAAAGGATAGTTAGCGGCCGGTACTGCAAGATTCAGAATGATTTTTAGAACACAGGAAATTAATACACATATATTTGTAAAGTTTCAAATATTTCTCAAAAATTTCATATGTATTTTTGAAAATTTTCATTAAGTTCACTTAGATATTTTATATTTAATTTATACAAATTGAGTTTATTCATAGAGAAACAGAGAGGAAGAAATTCTTCAAAAGGGGGGAGATTAGGGAGAAATTCATCAAAAGGGGGAGATTAGTGAGAAATTCATAAAAAGGGGGAGATTAGTGAGAAATTCATCAAAAGGGCGAGATAAGTGAGAAATTCATCAAAAGTGGGAGATTAGTGAGAAATTCATCAACAGGGGGAGATAAGTGAGAAATTCATCAAAAGGGGGAGATAATTGAGAAATTCATCAAAAGGGGGAGATTATGGAGAAATTCATCAAAAGGGGGAGAATAGTGAGAAATTCATCCAAAGGGGGAGATTAGGGAGAAATTCATCAGAAGGGGGAGATTAGTGAGAAATTCAGCAAAAGGGGGAGATAAGTGAGAAATTTATCAAGTGGGGGAGAATAGGGAGAAATTCATCAAAAGGGGGAGAATAGTGAGAAATTCATCCAAAGGGGGAGATTAGGGAGAAATTCATCAAAAGGGGGAGATTAGTGAGAAATTCAGCAAAAGGGGGAGATAAGTGAGAAATTTATCAAGTGGGGGAGAATAGGGAGAAATTCATCAAAAGGGGGAGAATAGTGAGAAATTCATCCAAAGGGGGAGATTAGGGAGAAATTCATCAAAAGTGGGAGATTAGTGAGAAATTCATCAACAGGGGGAGATAAGTGAGAAATTCATCATAAGGGGGAGATTAGTGAGAAATTCATAAAAAGGGGGAGATAAGTGAGAAATTCATCATAAGGGGGAGATTAGTGAGAAATTCAGCAAAAGGGGGAGATAAGTGAGAAATTTATCAAGTGGGGGAGAATAGGGAGAAATTCATCAAAAGGGGGGGATAAGTGAGAAATTCATCAAAAGGGGGAGATAATTGAGAAATTCATCAAAAGGGGGAGAATAGTGAGAAATTCATAAAAAGGGGGAGATTAGGGAGAAATTCATCAAAAGTGGGAGATTAGTGAGAAATTCATCAACAGGGGGAGATAAGTGAGAAATTCATAAAAAGGGGGAGATAAGTGAGAAATTTATCAAGTGGGGGAGAATAGGGAGAAATTCATCAAAAGGGGGAGATTATGGAGAAATTCATCAAAAGGGGGAGATAATTGAGAAATT